CTGAAGAAAAAATGCTGGCAATATCACCGCTGCGGTAAGACATCGGTTTGCCAAAAGCTAGAAAGAACACTTCGATAAAAATCTGAACCAAATTGGGATGGCCGTCTGTAAAAAATTCTCCAGGCAACCGTCAGTCCCGTCAGCGTGTGGGAAAAACTTCTTGCGCTATGACAAAACGATTAAATTGCAACCTCATTACCCTGCGCATCTCTCGAGTTGTTCTGCGGTAGCGGTATTCGTCTGACGAAGGGCAGTTAAGACTCAAAGGTGACTGACCGCCATCAGTTAAAAGAACCAGGACTTTCGTTTCCTGTTTCACCTGCAACTGCAGAACACTGGCGCAGGAAGAAACGTTAAACGAACCACTGTAGAAAACGTCAGAGATGGTCTGAGGCATGCTGTGTTTCCGCGAGAAGCGACGGCAGAAGGAGATGAATGGAATCTGGAAAGAGGGTAGTTCCACTTGGCCTGGAAAAAGAAAGGACGTGAAAACCACATGAGGAATTGGATTTGCGCCAAAAATTTGCGTCCTCCAAAATCGCCTCTTGCTCTGTGAAGTCTCCAAAACTGGTCGTGTTGTGCCTCGAACTAAACAAGAAAACGACCTTGAAAATTGGCAACTGACATGGATAAAGTGTAAAGATACTCTGTCAAGAACTGGAACAGGCATTCTCCCAAGTCACTCTGGTTATGGGAGAATTCAGTACCAGGATTCGGATGAAGAAAAGCCGGTGAAAAGTTCTTTCGTCCGTAGGTACGGCAGCGAGGATGTAAATGAGCGACGAAATTGGTGGAGGTTGTGTACAGAGGTATACATAGATCGCGCCCAGCGCGACGACAACGAACGAGTTCGACTACATTCTGTTCCTTAAACGCCATATCATCCGACACTTAGTGGCAGCGCCATCATTATACACTGGCAGTGAACATAGATTGGGTGAGGGCCAGGTTGAACTCAAAGAAAATCGACAGGAACGCACTAAAGATGACAAATTACATACGACGACCAAAGATATTCAATTCTACCGTCCTGTCGGCAATGTTGACTATGAGGCTCGAACACTCAGTAAAGTGAGAGCGCCACCGAGAGAGCCATGAAAAGCATGAAAAGAACCATGTTGGGAATCTCCCGTCGCGACCACATCCCCTACACAATAATCATCCAGCAGACGGGAGTGCAAGACGTAGTCGTCGAAGACTGAAAGGGTGTGTAGTTCGGGAGATGATTGCTGATTGGTACTCTTTTGGAGGGGACTGAGACATTTGATTTTCCCTGCTCCTAATATCATCTTCCCAGGTTGTAGTGGGCGACCAAATAGCCCTTTCTGTCCGTGAGGATGTCAGTCAACGGTCATTGCCAACCATCTCCCGTCGTTACGCCGAGTTGCATGGCTGGATCACGGTAGTGTCTTTGTCATTCCCGTATGCTGGCTCATCACCGTGTTGGGAATGTAGCCGGGACGTGAGATTTCCGACATTCTTCTTTCCATGACTGTCTCGATGACATATAGCTGGAGCTCTTCGCATTTTTTGAGTGACTATTCCCACAGCCATACAGCATTTACAGCAGGACGGTAGAACTAGAGGTAGGAGAGGATTTTTCATGATGCTCCGAGGAGGACGTCTCAGTTGGAATGGAACGTGGGCCAAGCGGCCCCTTTCTCTGTTGAGTATCTTCGGTCTGATCATGCCGCGATTTGATCCTTGGCCCAGGTAAATGCATTTATCGACTTCGATCCTTCCGATATGCCATAGCCTTGGCGTCCTGTACGGCGTCCGATTACTGTACCCCATCTTTAGGCGACTGATTAGCTGTCAGACTTCTGCATTTTTTCTTTTAAGCTCTCATGCAGTATGTTATGTGCGTGACTGGCGGTTTCCACCAGCATCGCCACGTCACAGGTGAACCTGAAGTGGCTGAGCTATTCATAACTGATTTTAAATCCCCCTTCCAGTTTATCTTCTAAAAGACTGTTTCTAAGCAGATAGTGAAGAGTTTGGAAAAGACGGTTTCTCCTTGTCCCACTCCCTATTCTGCGAGAATCTCAAAGGAGTGTGGAACAGCATTATTTTTGTGAAACAGTTAGAGTTCGCTTCCTTTAGCAGGTTGAGAAAACGAGTGTCGATAGTCAGTCTGCCAGTGCATTCTATACTGCTGCTATGCTCGAGAGTATCAAACTCTTTCTCGTAGTATACGAACGCCATGCACAGAGGGAACCTAGAATTTCCTCGCACATTCCACTAGTGGACTTAAGGAAAAATGCTATCTGTTGTGCAGTAGCTCCTTTGGAATCTTGCATATTTTCTCGTATGGTTATAAGACCAGACTTGTTGACAAGCCGCTGGTAACGATTTTAGTTTTAGACTTGTGTCAGTTGAGGCAGCAGACGGATGGGGGATGATTCTTGATATCTCCATCCCTTTGCTTGTTGAACAGCACAACTGTTTCTGGCTTGGCGGCATGCTTTCTTTTTCTCGGTTTTGCATTGAACCTCTACGGCGTCTGACAACCTGCTCTGAGTAGTTCAACTCTTAGACGGTCTCTCTCTGGGGCTCTGTCTTCATTAATTTGCTGCGGGCATTCGGTACTTTGCTTATAAGACCGGAAGTGCATTTCAATGTGAAAGTTTGAGTGATTGTGGACGGACGCTTGTATTTGACTCAAAAAGCTAAGTGTAGGAGTTCTTACGGATAAGCTGCCTCTCAGCTCTGTCAGACGTCACTGCGCCATCCTCGTTCTTGAACGTGGTGATGGTCTATTGATAACAGGAAACTGACTATAACGATTTAACAATAATCGAATTAATGTCTGATTGCAAAGTGCCAAACAAAATTAAATCATTCGGTTGCGCTGATTGCAGAAGAACAGTTTGATTTCTTATGAGGATTGGCGTGTTTGCAACCTGGCCACACCTTACGTTAAAGGGTTATTGAAACTGATACAAGCGACCGGTGAAAAAGCAAGCAAATGGCTAATCGGTTGACAACTGATCGATATGTTTTTAAGATCTGCTCTTACCGGCGCTGAACGATCGTGGACGCTGTGGTACGGACAGAAAAAGCGCCGGTACATTTAATAAATCGTTCGCGGTCTCACTTACGGCACTGGCTACAAACTCAGCGCAGGAACCGGAGGCTTTGCCAGGAATAATCAGAGACAATAGGAAACAAGTTTTTCCAGAAATGTGCGTTCTGCGTGAACACCACTTAATACGCAGGGCGGATGTCGACGAGTGCCAAGCCCTCGCCAGAGCGACTGGCGATGTATGGCGAAACTTGCGACAATGCCTCCCTCGCCCGTAGCGACGTTCGCTGCGACATCGGCAACGACAGCCAAGAGGGTGGTCATGCTGTTCTGCTGTCAGTCGCTCTACCAACTCCCTTACCTTGTGATTACTAATTGGTTATTTTGCGTTTTTGAGATGGGGACCTGGCGCGGGGGCGTTAATCGGACAGGTTCAGGTAATTTCTTTTGTGATTGGGCTGAAGACAACGAATTCACTTATTTTACTATTGATAATCATGAGACTTCTCTGACCTTCTACAGGGGGTACGCCTCGAAACAATCGCGCTATTCTAATTCCTATCTATCCTGCTCCAAGAAATTTCTTGACGTAGTTCTGCATTCGAAATGGAGGTGTTCTACTGGCCGATGATGCCTGTTTGAACTCAGTCTGGTGCAACTTTGATCAGAAGACAAGCTGCTGTTCTTGAGACGAATCGAGTCCACTGAAAATTTATCTTTTCGTTCTTGCAGTGACACCTTAGACCCTACATTCTGCGTTCTATTCCATCATACGTTTCCTTTCTCTACTTTCGATTTTCCGTAATTTGCAGCCTTTGAGCAATTTTAACCTTTAGAATTTCTGCTTCGTCATAGGCAAACGTTCAAGAAAATCATGACTTGAAGACCCACCCTTTCAAGCATAATTACAATTTACCAGCTATAAGCAGAAGATGATCTATGCAATTCTGACTCGCATACTGATTTCATAAAGCATATCCCGTGTTCCAGAGAACAGCTATAATATACAGCTCAAATATACGTAACTTTGCATCTCATTTGGCCTGAACCCATTGGCTTCACCAGCACATGGTCACCTAACTGCTGAACATGAATCGAGTCGCTTTCAAATTAATTTTTAAAACTCTGCTTTCGCTGGCATGACTCATTAATTGGATTCTATTCTGTAGTTCTTTAAGAGACTCTGCAAGAATAACAATGTGGTCGGCAAAGTGCAGGTGGTCTAAATACATTTCTTTTATTTCAATCATTTGACATTTACAATCGAATGTTTCGCAAACCTCGATTATACTGCATTACGCTTTAGATGCTAATTTTGATTTTGAATCTATGTCTGTTTTCGCGAAGATTCATAAAACCATGATATTCCAGTAGATTTTGGCGATAAGATCTCTAATAATATTTTCTCTATCCTGGCTCGTCAGAACATTTAATACAGAGAGCCATTATACGCAGTCGAAGTCGTAATCTTGTCAAAGACGGCAAATCCCAAATGGAAAAGAAACTGATATTTGCTGTATGTCTGGATCGCTTCATGTCTTCCTTTCCCAAAGACGAAGGAGAAAAACTGAGTAGTCCTATTAGCTATGGAGTTCGCCAGGGAGATGTACTATGATATTTGGTAATCAATATCGCTCTCAGTTTTCCTCATCGAAACGGTGATGGACCTGCAAAGACGAATACCTCATTCCAAAGGGAAGGCGCAGTTCAGAATTTCTAAGGTCTAACGCACAGTAGTCAAAAATCGTTATGATCCCATCAGTTACGGCTTATATGCCAGTGGAACAGTAGATGAGGCGCTTGCAAAAGTTGGCAGGTTTACG